GAATAAATGGTGATCCCTTTTTGGGGCAGTTTTTGTCTTCAATTTTTATTAAATTATAAATACTTTATTTAATATTAGCAAGTGCATGGCACACACTTACTGCTAATATATTGGAACTGGATGTGCTGTCATTATTGTTGTCTGGAATAGGAATAATTTTTGTCTGAAACACAATAAATATGAAATTAATAAGAAAAGTATTTAATAAATATGTAGGTAATAACAAATTATAGGAAGTTTACAATGAAATTTTAAAACCAAATGTGCTGTAAATACTTGAAATCCTTGATTAAATCTTTGAAATAAGAGAAAAATAATGGACTGTGATGTTTCGTACGATTGGCAGAATATAGATCTCATATCATATTTGAAACTACAGTAGAGCATCAATTATCCAAATAAATTGGGGACTGGGGTTGTTTGGAAAATTGATTTTTTGGATAACTAATTATGTATGAAAAAATATATTAATGTTTCCCATGTTGACCTTCGTTCAAATTGTGACACATCCTTAAGTACCCTCTCATGGTTGCGCCAGTGCTGCCAGCTAAAACATGCACACCAACAAAAATAATATTGGAGTATCCCAAGACATGCCAAAGATTGCAGTGCCACAGCACTAGCAGAAATTTAAATTTGCCGACTGGAAAGCTTTTGGTTAATTGACATTTCGGTTGATCAATATTTGGATAATCAATGCTCTACCATAATTTGATTGACTGAGTGTGATATTTTTCGACACTTATTCCTTTACATAGAGCTAAAGTTTGCAAATTGGATTAAGCCGGAAATTCAGATGATTAGGCTTATTGTCACTAGCAGTGACAATAAGCCTAATCAAGCTATTGTACTTTCACTTACTGTGATTAATAGATGCTTGAATCTGGAATATTTCCAAATGGTTGAACAAAGTCTAGAAAGGTGCAACATCTGCCCAGTGTTTACATAAAATACCTTCTCGTGGTAATATGGATAGAAAAGCTATCGCCAGTTATGCCAGTTCTGTAAAGCATTTGAAAGTATTGTTACTTGTGACATCACAATTGCCTGTGATCTCAATTTTTCTCAAGATCATCAATTCCTAATTGGCAGTCTACTCAGCAACCTGTTTCATAATCTGTTTCAGAACCTATTGTGCAACATGACTCCCAGCCTTCTTATCCTAGTTCACAATCTGTTTCTTCATTAGTATGCAGTCTTACTTTTCTCAGCCCTTCCTATGCAATAGGTGTTTATGAATTTATACAATTAATTTTATAAGAAACAAAGTTTAAATTGTAAACTTTTAACAGCTTTACACAATGACAAATAATATAGCCTACAAATATATATTTTTAAAGTTAGTTTTAATTTATGCTTCCTTATTTCTCTCAGACACTGTATTGGGAAGAAACAGAAAAGAATATTCATGTGCTAATAGTCTTGTGTCTCAAAAAGCATATGGATATTCATTGTTTTTATTGGCATGGCATGATATATTCATCATAGTTACAAGTAGATTTGTTTCTGTGGGTCATTTAACAGCTGAAGACATGTTTAAAAAGTTTAGGAAAAGACTGTGTAAAATTAATATTACTAACATTCAAAGTGTCATTTGGTTGTCTATGGAAGACCCTGCTGTAAATTGGAAGTTTCTAGGAATGCTGCAAAAGGATATTCAAGATGAAGATCCAAAGTTAAAACTATTGCAGTTAGGAAACTGTGAGTTGCATTCTATACAAGGAGAATTTGCAAATGGTGAAAAAACTGGCAGAAATAACAAAACTTTTACAACAAAAGACCTTGCTTATGTAGTCTTGCGATTGGAGTTTTTTAAAGTCATTTTCAAACAAATAAATCCTTACCTCCTTTATGAAGCAGTGCATGAAATATTAAGATCATTAATTACAAAAATTATAAAAACATCTATTTTAACCACTGCTTAAAAAGTGGAAATTTGAGATAATCAAGAACAGTATATATTGAGTTTAATGCTTCAAAAAAATATAAAAATGAAAATGAGCTAAGCTAGTGAATTATAGAAGAAAAATTTTTAAATGGTTATTATTTAAAGTTCATAAAGAATTAAATCACTTAAAGTATGGACTTGTACTTCCTGTTTTATGTTTATGATCCATTGTGGTTATTTAAAATCCTAGTATTGCTGCTAAACATATGCAGGGTGAATAGAACTTACCTATGATAGTGGCTGCATTATGGCTTCGTGTGCAATGACTATAAAACTTGGCATGAAAAAATGGTGTTTTTCTATGTTTATAAACAACTGAATCAAATAATGATTTCACAAATCTCTGGTTGGTGATTAAAATGATTCTTGTGGGATATCATGGCAATACAACAGTTGAATCTGGATTCTTGGTAAATACGGACATATCAGTTCAGAACGTAAGATTCAAGATTCATTAGTGGCTCAAATATCAACATACAGTGGAATCAGTCAAGCTGAAGGAATCGATGAAATTGAAATAATTAGGTTTATGATTCAATATGTAAGAAGATATGACAAAACTCTGAAGATATTAAAGAGAACATTATTAAAAATAAGATACAAAAGGTAATAACTGGAATTAAGATAGGAAGCTAAAAAGAAACATCTAGCAATAGAAATGAAAGACATTCAGATAGATGACTAAATTTGTACTTTAAAATAAAACAAATTCACAACTCATAAAACTTCAATTAGAAAACATACTATAAGCTGTAATTTTAATGTTTATACACTGGTATAAAAAGTTCATTTCTTTTAATGAAAGAATTACAGTAGTTTGTATTTTTGTCAGAGAAATTCTGAGATTTTTATCTAGAAAACCTGGAAATGTCAGGAAATTAAAATTGTGAAGATAGGTAGGAATCCTCCACAATTTTAATTTCTTGATATTTCTTGACATTGAAAGTTAAGGTGTCATCAGGTGTGTGAAATGGGTTCTATCTTCACAAATCTGATGATATCTTAACTTGAAAATGTTACATACAATCTATTGTGCTTATAATAAAATGTTTACATTTATACTTAGTGTGGCAGTTTATGATAGATTTACTATTTTGATTTCAATCAAAATTACACTTGACTGAAATCAATAAAAATAAGATCTATTCTAAACTTGATTTACTTTGCTTCTTTGACTAGTAACCAGACACACATGTTGACAAAAAAAAAGTTATGCACTAAGGAATATTTGAATCAAATAAAACTAGTAGTGTGAACATAACTGATTACAATATCATAGCAAAGGGAGAATTTACTGTGTAAAAATGATACAATTTAAAGGAATTGTTAGTACCTTGTAGGACCTCCTTTTGCCTGGATACATATAATGATACTGGATTTATATTTTATCCTGCAACAGATTTGTCCACAGATGTTGCAACTGCCAGTCCATCCTTTAAACTTGTAGATGACCAAAGCTGGCTTCTCATCTGGGGTTCCACAAATGCTCAATGGGAGATGAGTCCAGAGAATGAGCAGGTTGAAGAAGTGTAGCAACATGATGGTCTCATTCTTGGGAAAATTTAGCTGTATGTGGCCAAAAAATGGCTGTTTGAGGCCCTGCCACAAAAAGCAATGCAGGATTTTCTGAATATATTGCTGTACTGTGAATGTCCCTCATGCCACACTAGGGGTTCTTGACTGTCATACCAGATGGCTTCCTAAACCAGAACACCAGCAGTGAAGTAGTGTGTTGCTTAATAGTAAAGACAGGATTGAATGCTTATTAGTGGTTTTCCACAAGCTAATAAAGCTAATATGATGGTCATACATTTCCAAACAAAACCAGGATTTATTACTAAGAAGATATGCTTCTTGTTCATAGCAATTCATCCTTTGTTGTGGCACCACTGCAAATGAAGCTGATGAAGTTGCAATGCAAATGGCAGGATCTATAGTGGTCTCTGTATTTGTAAATTTGCTTATACCAGTCACCAGTCCATATGGGAAAAGAGAAGATTCTGTAATGAGAGTTCCATCTGACAAAGACACTGTTGCAGCTGTTTGTTACAATCAATTCTCTCTCCTGGTGGTCTGTTTGGGGCATCCAGAGCCATGTATGTACATGTGCCATCGCACATTCACTGTTCCAATATTTGCTCGCTCGGGTGGAAATGGCCAAATGGCAGGCAATTTGACAAACTAGCCATTCTGCTTCTCAGCTCAGTGATATGGTGTTTGTCAAAATTCATTACACAGTGTACCTGTTGTATGAAGTCTTCTGACATTAGGCTTGCCTGGTTTCAGTACTCCATATAATGGGCTTGCTGAAAATTTTGAAGATGGTAAGCTTCTGCGGGCCATTTTTAGGATACCGAAATGGTGTTTTTAATGTACTCTGGTGCGCATTACCTGTCATGCAATTAGATCACAACATGTCTGAGACATGGTTGTGTGTTGAGCTTTTATACCTGGGGCATAACTTTTTGTCAATTAGCATATTTGATCTTTTATAGAGTCTAAGTGGAGTGATCTCATTATTTGTCCACTCAGAGGTTTGCATTTTGTCCAAAGTTTCCTTTTTCTACTTTTTAAACAACTAACTTTCATCTATAATTATTAGAGATATAAGATGATTTTTTTCTATGACTGTTATCAAATTTCATTTGGAAGTTAATTTATTGTAATTTAGTATATATAAAGAAAAAAAAAATTAGTACAATCTGCAGCTTTAATTATCATTTAACTATTTTCTGAATTTTTATGTAATTTTACTGTTATACAAGTTAATAAAATGAAAGTATAATTCACAAACATTACAAAGAATTTGATGATGCTGTAAATCGTACTCGACAACGACGTGAGCTGGCATTTCAAAAACTATGTCTGGTTCACACACTGCCAAATTCAAATTGCAGCGTTGCCATACTCCTTGTGCTACTTTTACAAATTCTACTTTTGTTTTACATGTACACATCTATTCTGTATTAGATGTGTACATGTATAATGTTATAGAATTTGTTTCGTAGCATTTGTATATATCACTCACCGTTTTCTTTATGTTGATTTACAGAATGGACATTCACCTTACATTGCCTTAGCTCTTAAAGAAGACATAAGTCAGCAGAAGGAGAAAACAAAATGCTATCAGAATCATGAACTAGAATCAGTTGTATATAAACCTTTGACAGGTAAGTTTTTAATACTTTTAATGTTTTTGGTAATTTGAATTATATGAATAAATATATAACATACAAGATTGAAATTTAAAAGTTTACATTTAAAATGTCACTAGAATTATATACAGTCGACCCCCTATAACGTGGGTTCCTATAACAGAAATTCCTATAACATAGCGAAAAAATTGTAGTAGTATTCATATAAAGTGACTCGTAAAACGTCGTCGCCGACTCCTGTCGCGACAAGATTGGTCGAATCTGGACCAATAATGGACGAGCAGCCGAACTACTTTCCGCCGTCTAGTGCCACGCTACGGAGAGTTTAGGCTAGTAAGTTGAGTTTATTATCGTCTGTACAGTATGTAAATTAGGGTACTGTAAGTCTAATACAGTACTGTAATTTTATACATTTCTTGTGAAAGAAACATTTCTTATTCAACGGCCATAAAAATTATTTATATTAATGATGTCTCCAAAGGTCAAGTTATTTTTCTGCAAAAAGTTTGTTATCAGAAATCGCGGTTGCTGTTTCGTGCACTGTTCTGCGACAAAAACAAGCTTGAGCAACGACATAGTCGAATGGTGCACACTCGGTAAGTAATCCTACAATTTTTTGTTTATAGCATAGTTTATATGGATTATTCCCAAAAAATTATACGTGTTTTGGAAATGTTGAGTGGAATTAGTCTAGAATCGGTTAATTTTATAGAAGAAAACCTTTCAAACAGCCTTAAGCCGTAAACTTCACACGTAGATAAGTGATAANTGCACACATGCGGCGCGGCAAGGAAAAGCGGCAGAATGACGTCACTTTTTCTCGCCGCAGAAGTCGATTTTGTGCCGCTTTTCTCGTGCCGCAAAAGTTGGTTGAATTCTATCTTTTGCGGCAACGCCGCCAAGACGCGTTTCTATCAGCCAATAACAGTTTGTCTCGTAGTCACGTGAGAAAATACAATCACGTGGTGTTTTAATGGCGGAAAGTTCGAGGCGGTTAACCGAGATAACTAAAATCAGAATAAAGAGGAAAGGATAACAAATTTAAAACAAATTCTACACAAATAATCATATATAATTTAATTCAAAGAACAAAACAACCGAATCTTACTCGAAATAGTATTCTTTATCGAGAGATCTTGATCCACGAATAAGTCTATTTTGTACACCAGTTCTTTCTCGATCCAAAAAAGTATCTCTAAAATTCAAATCTTCGACAAAATCATTTAGCTAAATAAAGCGAGCCGTACAAAACAAAATTTGTAAACACGTGGATAGGGACAGTGTGTAAGCACGTGGATATCGTTCGCCATCTTGAATACTGAACGCATGCGCCGAAATGTAAACGGATTGCCGCTTGTGTGGTTGTGCTGCCGCGCGGCGAAGATGCGTTTGCGTCACCGCTTTTCCTTGCCGCGCCGCATGTGTGCATCCGGCTTTAGTCCGTAAACTTCACACGTGTCGGGCTGCGATTGGCTCATGTATTTAATTTAATGATTCCTACAATGTAAAATTTGAATAACGTGGAACATATCTAAGCGTTATAGGGGGGTCTACTGTACTGTATTCGTGTTTTGATGTATTATAGCCATGGTGGCCAAACTGTAGCTCATCTAGACTCTTATTGCAGCTTCCATATATCATCAGACAATTTCTTCATACTGGCATTTTTTTTTCTATTTGTTACATTGTGACCTGTGTCTATAATGTGTTTTGGCTTAATGTATTACTTTTAATGGACATATCTACTGTGTTAACTGAGAATTGTGTGTATACGAAAACATCAAAATCCAGAATTGTGTAGTTCATTATAAAATTAATAGACAAGTTACTATATTGTTTGAATAGCACTGGGAATATTGAATGGTGTGTAGAGATGGTCTTTACAACAGACAATGAAATACAAGGTGGACATAAATAGTTTCTCTGTTCAGAGCAGTATGTAGCTATAACCAATAAGCAGATTGACACCAGAATTTGTATACAGACTATGCAAGGAATGCAGAGAAGGATTTTGTAAAAAAAAATTCAGTTCAAAAACTTCTGCTGGGGGGCTTTGTCATATACAGTTCATCATGGAAATGTTGCAGCTTTCGCAGACTTAAAGGATTGTATTACACTGCACTTGCAAAGTGTCACTGGAGAGCAGTTATGGTAAGCTGTTCATGGCCTTGAAACTTTACACCTAAACAATGGGACACACATCAAGTAACATTCCTTACATCAGCAAACAGCTCTGCACAATGAATAAATGTGGTGTTTTTGTTTTGCTTCATGTATTTTCCTGTAAAGTGTCCCTAGTGAAAGTTTTTGAACTAAACCTTTTTTTTTTTTTTTTTTCCTAAAATATTTTTTTGTATCATATGCATAGTCTGCATACAAATTTTGGCATCAATCTGCTTATTGGTTACAGCTGTAGAGTGCTCTGAATAGTGAAATTTTAATTATGGCTATCCAGTATTTTTACATTTCAATTTTCTGACGAAAGAAATATTAAAAAAAAAATTGAAAATATTCAAAACAAATTTGAGAAATTGTTTTTATATACTTTTGAGAAGCACTCGGTCTTTACTTGTGCCTATTCTTATTCCATTTTGTAACCATTAGCTTTGGAATAAACTGTAATAGTTTGTTGGAATTATAAGCTGCAGATTTTCCTTCCTCTATTACTGTAGAGGAAAGAAAGTCTGCAGTACCTTGTATACATTACTAAATACAGTACCATGTATGTAAATTCTAATTGTTGAAGATAATAGATTCTGTCTATTTCTCTAGTCATGTTCTTTTGATAATTGGTCATATCAATAATATAATTAATTCAGAATACTTTTAACAGTTTTTATTTAAATTACTTTATCCATATTTCTGACATACAATTATTTTTTGAAGTATTGCATTTAGTAGAAGGATAATACGTATTTCAAACACAGTTTGGAAGTAAAATATTGTCCTTAGTTATTATAATCAAGTTAATAGAAGCTCCTGAGTACTACTGACCAATTTAATACAAAGACGTTTTTTATATTTCTTATTAGACTATCAAAACAAATCGTTACATCACAGAAGCATTACTACTAAATTAAATTCAACACCAGTCATTAACGGAGTGGTACCTGAAGAGAAACAAGAAAAATGCTGGCAGAGAATCCTTTTATTAATTTTAGCTATTACTGTACATAACATACCAGGTAGGTCAAACAGAATGTTTAAAAATTTATTGGATGTTTTAAACTCAAATGGTTAAAAATTGATTGGTGTTTATAGAAGGATTAGCTGTCGGAGTGGGATTCGGTGCTGTTAATAAAACACAATCTGCCACTTTTGAAAGTGCAAGGTAAGTGCTTTAAATAAGCAAAATCATTTATATGTTGCAATTTTACAATAATAAAGTGATCCTTATTTAATCTTCATGTAGTAAAATTACATTAACTTACATTTGTCATTTGTTTGTTGTTATTTTAGTGTGTATTGAGATAAATTATTTTTTTTTTTACCAATCTTTCTATCTAGATATTATGTTATTGCTCTTAATGTGCTTGAAACTTTTGTGTCTTAAAAATATGTTAAATGTACTTAGATTCATTATAAAATATGTATAAAGATTCGCAAACTAAATTATAAAAAAAATTGGCTTCGTTACTTTTAATTCTAGAACAAATTTTGTGAATTATATAATATGAGATTACACTTATGACAAAATAGTTCATTAATGATGAAAAGCATCATCTTTCAGCAAACCTTTCCTTGCAAGATAATACTAAAACCTGGAATTTTATTTCCTCTATGATAAAACTTCTTAAGGATAAAAACCATCTTTCAGCAGATTGTTTTTGACTACTGAACAATGATGCTTTTCATCATTAACCAACTATTTTGTCAAAAGTGTGATCTTGTATTACATAATTTACAAAATTCCTGTTTTGGACATTTATTGTCTCTTGTATTGATACAGAGAAAATTTTGTAGATACTGTATTTATTTATTGATATTTTTATATTATGAAATAAAAGCCTGGACTGTTTAATAGCAAAATGATATTAAGTTGTCAAATGAATACAGCCGACTATAGGGGACATTTTTTTAAATTCACAAAAATTGACTAAATAATTAACATAATTTTGTGCACATAATCTGTGAGGACATAACCTGTGCTAGCATATAACCCTACAAAAAATTATTAAAGGGAAATAAAATCTTTACATAACTGACACAATTGTATCCCTGGCATATCAGAATGCTTTCTGGCATGCAGTTTAGAAGATCTTATCTCAAATATTCCATTTTTGTCCCCTCTCTTTTTTTTTAATTTTTACCAGCAGTTTATTATGGATGTAATTATGAATAAGTGAAACTGAACAAATCCTGAATGATAAAGAACTGCCTAATCTGTATTAATTGTTGAAAATAAAAATGGCTGCTAACAACCTCAAAAAGAATTAAATGGAAAAATGATTTTTTTTTTTGGAAAAATGACTTTTGTAAAAGCATCATATCCTCAAATAAAAGGCTGATGTTTGATATTGTTTTTAACTTTGTGAATTTTTACCTATTATTATTTGTTTTTTAATGAAGTTTTTCTTCCATCCAATGTAACTGTTACTTCTATGGTTGTGTTAAAGGATAAATGGATAGACTTGAAAATGTATATTTTTGTAAATAGTCTTAACTTCAAAGTTAAATTGGAAAAATGATGACAATGACAATATCCATAGTATACTTGATGTTTAGTGTGTCACCCATATTCGACGAGTCTAGAGGGGGATGTAGCCAGCATGGCTCTCAATAGTAATGATTAATTATATTACCAGATGTGAGTTAAATAAGAAGTAAATAAAGTAATTGCCACTCTGAATTAGACACTGAAAAATCTAAATTGGGACCATCACACTATTTACTGTGATAGGCCACAAGATATACAGATTCATTTTGAGTGCGCCACATTTCTTTATATACATTGCATAATGCTAACATGCATATTATTATTATTATTATTTTTAAATTCATTACCATAAAAAGGATTTGGATGCAGTCACTATTTCACAAGCAACTATACAAACTATACAGCCAACTTTAATATAAATTTAATATTAATATGTGTGAGTATATTATGCTAAATGTGTAAATTTTTTTGTAAAATATAGTAATTGGAGAAGAAAAAAAAATTAAAACAAAACTACTTCAAACTACTCTGCAAACTATTAAACTGCAAATAATTTCACAGAAGGGCAATTACAATTATTTGTATTGCCAGATAACCCACGTTATCATTCAACCTGTATCTATTTTTAAATTGACTTTTTGATTATCAATGTAAAATTATAGTGATTATATTTATTTAAATATTGTTAAGGTTAGAATTGTATGGCTTATTATTCTAGTGCATTTGAAATTGTATGTGTGGTTGTCATTTTTTTTACTAGTCTGTTTGTTCTGTTTTTTTTTTTTTACACTTAACTGTGACAGTTTCATCATGAATGTGAGTTAGTAGTCAGTTGTTTGTGTTGTGTATTGCTCTATATTATTGTATTCAGTTTATTTTTTTGTTATAAAAACAACAAAGATTGGTATTGTATTTGTGCATAGCCGACTTAAGGGCAATAAATATACTTGAGTTTTCAACATATTCAAGTGTAATAAGTGTATTTGTCTAACAAATGTCTTACCTTCATTAATGTTATCGAATGTGGTGAATATTTTCCTTTTGTGCTTTTTAAAATGAAAAATTTACTAATATTATGTTAAAAAATAACAATTATATATTGAAAATTTACTAAATTAATAAATAAATTTTGCAGGAACGTAATATCATTTCTTGCTTTGTAAGTAGAGTAAAATGTTTTTGTTATATTTTTAAATAAATATGTTTAATTAAAATAATTAAAAAATGAAATTGTACAATAATTGTTGATTCCTTTTTGTGTGCTTTGCAATTGTCATTGCACATTTATAATAATTATAATTTGATGATAAAATTAATTTATGTAATGCAGTTGATAGATTTCACCGTATTCTCAATCCACAGGTAAAATTACTATAACTTTAAAGGCAGATTTTTCTGTAGAATTGAATGTTTACATTTAAGATTAATTGAAGTGACTGTAATTAATAATAAAATCATAATAAAATTAATTGTAAATTGTAATTATCTTAAAATACGATGATTTATAAATAAAGAAGAGTAATCTATCAATAGATAGATCAATTTATTCATTGTGTATAATGTAGGATTAATTGAAAAGTCATTGACAGTTTTACTTCTTTTCTTATTAACAACAATTTTTATGGCAGAAAAATGTTATCAAATAAAAATGTGATTAAAAACGCAGTAATATTTACATCTTGGTACAAGTTGGAAGATCTATTGCACAAGCTATCGCCCAGATCAATGAATGTACATTAGAGGTAGCATGATGTGAATTTAATTGTCACATCAACACATGAGGTTACAGAGTTTGTATCATAAAGTAATGTGATTTTGATTTAATTTGAAATAAAATGTCAAGTCCATTGACATTATTTTCACTAACTCTACAGATTAATTAATCCCTGTTGATGGATAATTCCTTTTTTCCCCGGATTTACAGTTAATGAATTTTACAAATAATAGGCTTTACTCATAAAATTTATGACTTTGTGAAAAAGAAATGATATTTACAAACACAGATTCTAGACTGAAATGAGAAATTGTCAATTAAGATGTTTTTGAGGTAGGTTTTGGCAATGATCATTATTGTCTAGAAATAATCTTTTCTTCTGATTTCATTATCATCAACATATACACTTTTTTATGTAACTTAAATATCATTTTATATGTTATGAAATTCATTCTCTAATTGATGAAATTAATGTACTTCATTTAACCCGGCGTGAGTGAGGTCGGGTATGTTATACCCGAGATTTTAAACGCAGATTATTTAATGTTATTGTTGCCATGCAAATCCCATTCTCACAGTAGTTGGAGGTAAGGGAGTGGGGGGCAAGGTGCAGTGTTGAGTTTAGTGTTCCGCTGGTGTCGGCGGGCAATACACATGAGCAAAGATGGCTGGGGTACGTCACACCCGACCTCATAGTCGGTGTTACATTTTTGAGTTGACAGTAAGTTTATGAGTTATAGTTATTTACAGTATTTTTAGATTTATTTCTAGATTTCTCAAATGATAGTCTTCGCATTAGGCAAAAAGACACATCTTCCAAGGGAAACTCAAAAAGTGATTACTGATCAACTTGGAGAATCTTCATTACCTGTTTCCAAAAAAATGGCTAATAAATATGTCAGGTGTGGTGAGTGTACTAAAATACAGATCGAACAGCAATGTTTTGTTTTCCTAAGTGTGAGAAGCCAAAATGTATGAAGCATGCGATTTTTGTGTGTGGAGATTGTGCTGATTTGTAGGTGTAATGTTGTGCAAATTGATCTTATAAGATCTTTTTATTTTTTTTTTTATTTTTATAATTTGAAGATACTATAGTTATGTTGATTAACCAAAGTAGTTGTAATTTTGTTAGGATTTTATACGAAAAAATGTTAAACTACCAAAACTTGTACTTTTTCAAAGAAAATATAGACACTTTGTTATTTCAATTAAAAAAAAAATGCTTTTCAATCTTAAACATAATATTTTATTTACTCATCTTGTTGAATAGATACTATTCTTATTATCCCAAGTGAAAAAATACTTTATACACAATTATATCAATAGTATAAAAAATTCGGCATCAAAGTTTCGGGTATCTCCTACCCACCTCATAGCTGGTGTAACAATTTCTCACCTCATTCACACCGGGTTAAATAAAATTCTCTAATGGTAATCAAATTCTAAGGCTGTAATGAAGGGACTATGGTTTTCCTTCCTTGAATATTATTAAATTTATTACTAAATGTGATTTGTAAGATTGACGTGTTTGTTAATGGAAAATATGGTCAGTGCAGGTTTAATGTGGTAAGCACATTAAACCAGCACTGTTTTGTTAGTGTGCCTTCTTTGAGGGGTGCTGAAATAAGTAGGAAAAATAAAATAATTTTAAAGTAATGTTTATTAAACATAGATATATCTAAATCTATTATAATAAATACTGTGATTTTTAATACCTTTTATATATATATATAAACCTCCCAAAGCCTAATGTATTAATACTAAACCAAACAATTGCATAATTAATCAGGCTATTTTTTGCTAAAGTAGATAGCAAAAAATAACTAGATTAATTATGGCAATCATTTGGTTTAGTGCAGTGGTTCTTAACCTTTTAGTGATGGGGAACCATTTATCAAAATTTTTGTCTTGTCATGGACCACGAGCTGTTTGGCAGTAATATAGGTTCTTATAAGGTTGT